ACTAAAGGTACCGTTGCTGCGTCTTTCCAACTCAGGCGCGGTCGATGTGCGTACTCCCGCCTCCGGTGCCACCGCACCAGCGGCGACGGTGGCGGGTAAAACTTCTTCCTCTGGTATGGGAGCGATAGCCCTGTCACCCGGCGGCCGAATGGGCTCAGGCAGGACGGCAACACGTTCCGGTGATCGCGTCGCCTGTCCTGGTGATCGCCATTCTGCCGCCTTCGGCGGCGCAATCCTAACCGATTCGACCGTCCTGTTCCCGCTCTCGTCGCTATTAATTGCCGCATGCATCGGCTCGTCGCGCGATCTATCAGGCATGCGACCTGACGCAAAATCACTCGGCTGTAAGGGCGACCCAAGTTCTGGCCTCTCCGATGCAATCGTGAAACGCAAGTACCTCTCCCTAAGTTCGTCCATGTCGCCGTGTAACGCTGACCCGCGGTAACGCATTAATTCGAGTAGGGAAACTGGCTCCGTCGAATCAATGCGGCGCCTGACTTCCTTAACGCGGGCATCGCGAAGCAACCTACGCATCGCAAGCCGATCCTTGCACGCGAGCGGCATGTTGTCTAAAAAAAAAAAAAAATTCTTTTTCTTTCGACGGCGTAAATGCAATAGCAACGAACAGTCAAGCAAACGCGCGGAACGCGGTAACTAACACGCTAGAAATTCAATAACACCCTAAAACAAAACAAAAATTATGAGAGTAAACTAAGCAACCCGAACTAGCCGCGCCTTCTTTGAGTCATATGCTGGCAAGTTATCGTCTCGCACGAGACCACAAAGGAATGCGTCACGCGGGTGTAAATGAACACCTCAACTAGCCGAATTCCACAACAAAACACGCCACAGCACGAAAGAGAAAAAAAACTAATTGAGAGAAAAAAAAAAGGAAAACCAAAATCGAAAGAGAATTTTGTTCCTTCACTGAACTAGGCTGGCAAGTTATCGCCTAGCCTAGAACCACAAAGGAATGCAGCGCTCGAGTGTAAACAAACTCGGGCGCTCGAATTCTCTATGACGAACACGTGTTAGCGCGAGCGACCTTTCCGCGCCGCAACCCGATACACTAATGCTTTCAATTTTTATGCGTTTTCTATTTTCTATTATATTTTTTTTTTCTCGACAAAGACGCGACGTTTCGATGCGCTTTGCCCTTGCTAACAAAGAACGCGACGAATCACTTTCACAATTTCACTCACTGCCGACTTTAATAAATACAAGTTTCACTTCTGCTTTGCCCTTCCCCACAAGGGATGCCATGTAATAGCGTCGGCGTGCAATGCCGATAAACCCACCACTATTACCAATTATTTAAAAGGGGGAATGTAAGGGAGGTGGTGTGTCGCTCCAGACAAAGCAAGAAGGAGAACAACAGGCAAATAACTTCACACACACACACTCAATTTCATTAACAAATCCGTTTATTACAAATGCACTTCCTTGAGTGCCGACGAGAGTACAAATACAAGTCGCTTATCACTACTAACACGCGCACTTATATTAAACGAGACGATCGGCACGTTAGCGCCATATCATCTCGTTAACCGGCTCAAATCACAATTATATTAAACTAAAGAGTGCGCCGGCTCAAGGAGGAGCCTGGCGCAGCAACACGAACGAAGACCAATCGCCGAGGAAAAGAGAGAACTAGAGAGAGAGAACAATGACCTGACCGTTGCTGATGGGTATCGCTGTTGCTGGCAGTTCTGCAGATAACTTCGCAGATATCCTCGCTGGCTGCGTTGCTGGTGGTTCGTCGAGGAAGTTGCAGCTGTATATCGACCACGAAACCGGCCCAACTCTTGCCTGGCTGCTGGCTGCTTAGCTGCACGAGGAGAGACGGCTATGCGACTGCGGTCACTAACTTCTCTTTTTTTTTTTTTAAATTGCGGCCGGTCGCTAATGCGTGCGTCGCATCACTGTCGCGAGTGAGTGAGAGCCGGCTTCTCACGCCTTCTCCCACCACTCGCCTAATCGGCGGCACGCGGCAATGCCCGTCGCGACAAGTGCCGCGCGCCAAGCCCAACCACCGAACTGCATGCTACTTCTCTCTTTCTCTCTCTCTCTCTCTCTCACACTCTCAATACTCGTGCGTTGTTGCCTCTGGCCTCGCCTTCTGCTCTCGGGTGTTGCTGGAATAAAGAAGGAGGCATCAGGCACGTGAAATTCAACGTGCGTTTGATGCCAGCCGTGTGCCTTCGCCTGGGAGAGATGACGCAGGCATACACGGTGTAGGCTATGACCAGCCTACACCGTCACAAGCTGGTTATAATGTTTATCGGGCCGTAGCTCCTTCAATTTTCAAGATAATTGAAATTTTTTTTTTAAATGAAAACTCTTTGAATTTGCCATCAACGTGTGAAATCAAAAGTTTAAAATAAAAGTTGCAAACAGTGTAAATTGCATTTTGTAACTAAGGAAATTCAAACAAAAAATTCTCTTAGTCGCAAAATTGCATTTTTTTGCCAAGTAATAACGGTTTTCCATATATCATAACGAAATCTACCTATGAAAACATCACCGTCACCACGAATTCAACTCAGGTTTGTACAGAGTGAACTTTCGTTAATTTGTTTATAACGCTATTAGTCGTAAACTATTTCACTTACCGAGTACAGATTTCGCACACGTGTTCTCTAGTTAGAAGAGAGTAATTTATGTCAATTACGAGGCGTTACAATACAAATATAATCGTCTCTCGATAGTTTATTTATAATTAATTATTGATTGGTTTTTTACGTGTAACTTTCCAACAAAATGATTGTTTTTTTCGTACAACAGATACTTCTGTTCGGTATTTCAAGACAAACAAAAAAGTATAAAGGTTTTTTCCTGTAGAATCAATAGCTTCGAAGTTATTAGCAAATAACGTGAAATTCCACAAAAATTCGTCAAATTAACGGGCTTTCAAAAATGAACACATTCTACGAATTACCACGAATTTTTTTTGGTTATTGTACATACTATGTACGACCCACACACAAAGCTCCAGCCTGCCCCGAGCCAACATTGCGAAATGCTCATTTTCGGGCTATAACGCCTGGACTATGAGTCTGTCTCGGGCGCTCTCTTTAATCTGTACCGCTCTTCGCTCCCGCGTGTCAACCTCGTGCTCTGTTGCCGGTCTCCGAAGCGCCTCTTGGTGCGCTCCCCTTCGGTTGTGTGATACTCGTATGTGTCCGGGTGTTGTGTGTGTGTATCCGGGTGTTGTCAGTGATCGGCCGCAGTGTTAGTGTGTGTGGCACTCAGGATGTCACCGATGGTGCGCAGCACAGCGTTGCCGGCTGCCGCTTCATCGACGATTTTCTGTTCGCCCCAGGTGTGCTAGCATCTCCAGAGTGTTTGTGTCAGTGTTGGGAAGTGTAACGGATCTGCATATACCGCTATCACGCATTTCCGCTGCACTTCCTAGTCAAGTTTTGGTGTTTTTCGTTCTAGCAAGCAACACATGTCGGGAATGTGTGTGCGAGCGCTCTCTTTTTCCTCCTCGTGCGCTCCATTTTTCAGTCATCCGTCGGATTGCGTTTTCCAACTTGTTACGTCGTTTTCTCAAGTTTGGGTGGACAGATATGAAAAGGAATTAATGTTCGAATTAGGGCGCGCATAGATTATCATTATACGGCTGGTTACGGGGCGGCAAGGGACGGGGGTGGCTTTCCTGAGGTGTTGCAAATAATGCAACACTCTCAGGCAAAGACTTGTAATGTACCGCATTACAGTACGAATAAGTCATCCTGTTAAGAATAGACTATGTTCGCGCGCGCTGCTCTTCACGTGTTGGTGAGCGTGTTTTTTCCATTTCTTGCTTGCTGCCGACGCTTCATAACGACCCAAGTGTTCACCTCATGCCGAAAATTTACGAGCCATTCAAGATAATAATCTGCCACTACTCAAGCATAACACTTCGTTCGGGGAAAACTTCATCGCAGGACACATGCTACACAGCCGCCAATACGCAGCAACAAACATGGTCTCGCATAACGACCTCTCAGGTAGCCAGCGGCCTTCTCAAGAACTGTACGACAACGCTACCCTTGATATCAGCTACTCGGATCTTTTGGGGACCCAACGAGGAGAAAAAAGGGAAATGCCCCCACTCATTATTGCAGCTCCTTGCTAGGCATTGTCGAGGGCCGCCGGCGTTGAACAGCAGTCTCTCGAGAGCATCCGCGGCGTTCGGACGTAAAAAGTCGAGCTTCACCATTCTCGCGCCTCGCAAACGATTGGTAACAGACGCACCAAAGTTTCCGGCCATATCACAAATGGCCCCCCCCCCTTTGTTCGTAGTGCGCGTACGCGTTGTGACCAAACCCGTCAGTGGGTCCTTACGTATGTGTGTACGACGACGCGAGAGACAGGGGCTGCCGACCAAGCAACTTGACACGTCAGCAGAGGGCCTTCGACTCTCTGAGGGGGTGTCAGATCCCGCTGCCTACCAATCGGCAAATTCGGCTCCATTGCAGTGAGGGCTGCTCCCGTGTCCGAGACGTCGGAACTGCATGCACCGCCGTACACCGCCTGACATCCTCTTCCCGGTTTCGCTAACCTACCCACAGGGCGTCGTCGTGATAGACAATAGGTAAGAGAGCTCTCAAAACCACGCGGTGAGTTGGCCACTCAACACTCTGTACAGGCTACGCGAGCCTACTATCCGACCTTTTTATGTAAACTTCATGTAGTAGCCATGTTAATAAAGAAACTATTAGCATAACGCAGCTCACGATCTATGCACCCATACACTCCCGCAATCACCGCAATTAATTCCTCACGCCTCTTTCCTTCAAGCTTATTACTCGTTAATATTGAACAAATTGGTGCCCCGGGTGAGGAGTGTATGAGTGCATGAATATCCTCTGCGACAGCAATAGTCTAATAGCGTATATACATTGTCATCTAGCGACGTTATCCGTACGTTGTTCGTTTCAATTCACGGAGTGTAAACTGAGTAAGGTCCACTGCATCGCTGTAATAAACCCGCGTGTTACAATAGAGGCAAAATGTCGCGTGTTAGTATGGCAAAACTTGCCGACATTCAGAAACATCGCGTCAATGAAATCGTTGCGATCGGCAATCGTATAAAAGAACGCGCACCAGAAACGCTCAACGCTGCGATAATCCAAACACGGATCAACACTGTCTCTGACCTATGGCACGAGATACGTAAGACTCACCATGAAATTACTATGCGCAACGACTCGACCGCGAATTCATACATGACGGAAAATACGTACGACGCCATGCAACAACTATACGAGGAAACTCATGACTGGCTGCTTACTACTTTAACTAAGTTTCAAGGCCTGCGAGAGCTAAACACTCGGCGACGCGCGCGTGATGCCGACGATAATGACGATGATGACGAGACTTCGGTAAAACTTCCGCGCTTAGAATTGCCTACTTTCTCAGGCAAATATGAAGACTGGGGCAGCTTCGCGGATCAATTCAGTTCGATTGTGCATGACGCCCCACGCATCTCAAACACCACGAAACTACGATATCTCAAGTCTTGCCTGCGCGGCCCCGCCGGTGATTTGGTGAAGGACGTCCCAATACTGGGCGTTAACTACGAGCCCACATGGGCAGCCCTGAAAGAACGCTTTCACAATCCACGCCTGACAATAAATAACCTGATTGATTCCTTCCTTAATTTACCGCATTTGAAAAGAGAGTCAGCCGTTGACTTACGCGCATTCGCCGACGATGCCCAACGAATCGTACGAGCTCTCACGACTTTAAGAGCACCGGTAGCTCATTGGGACCTATGGCTGGTACATATCGTGGAAATTCGTCTCGACCCAGAGTCGAGAAAACAATGGGAAGCTGAAATGTCCGTGAAAGATCGTCAACCCGCCGCGAGTACGCCAGATCATGAGGACGATCATCTACATCGGATGCCGAAATTTGTCGAATTATCGGCCTTTCTCGAGCGCCGCGCGCATTCGTTGTCAGCAATTCAGTCAACCAATAACGAGAAGGCGACTTCCCAGCCACAACGGAATAACAACAGTTCGCGACGAGTTCATCACGTGCACGCTGAGCAGCCTGAGCAGCCAGTCAAAACGGTCCAATGTCCTTTCTGTACTGAGTCACACTACCTCTCGCGCTGCCCTACGTACTTGGCAAAGAAGGTCTACGACCGACAATCAATATGTCGCCGCTTGGGCCGTTGCTTCAACTGTTTAGGACCCCACAAGTTCAACTCTTGCAAATCAAACGGCCGCTGCAAGACTTGCAACGAGAAACATCACTCGTCTCTCCACTTCGATAAGCGAACAAAAGGAAAGCCAAATGATAACGCAACAAATCCCACCAGCGACGCTCCCGCTCAATCGGTTAGGTCGAACGTCGCTCAAGTAACGGTCGACCCCACGCTCTCAATCAACTCGTGCAACGCGAATTCGTCAACGAGCCCTTCCCTCATCCTCCTTGCGACGGCGCAAGTGATCGTGATCGGCCCCACCGGTAAGCAAACCCGCGCTCGGGTTCTCCTATATCAGGGCTCGGAGGCGACTTTCGTGTCTGACGCATTGGTCCAATTACTCGGACTGCCGCGTGATCGTGTGCGTACAGGTTTGACCGGAGTCGGTGGCTGCAAAGCGGGTGTCGTCAACTCACGAACGATTTTCGCGCTGCGCTCACGCGTGGACGCGCATTTTGAACTTGAGGTGAGCGCCTTTGTGTTGCCACGCCTGACCGAAAATCTACCTGCTCGCAGCCTCATTGAATTTGACCTCGGCCCCTTCGAAGGCTTGTCTCTGGCCGATCCAGACTTCCACCTATCGGACCGCGTTGACATAATGATTGGCGCAGATCTGTACGGCCAATTGCTTTGTTCGGGTCTTAAAACGTTCCCATCAACTTTATTAGTCGCTCAGAATACAGCCCTCGGATGGGTTATCTCGGGCCCTGCCCATAGCATTGCCCCACGGCGGGCGGTAGCCGCTCACAACGCCTCGGTGACTGCGTTGCGTTGCGCCATTCACAACGATTTTGACGAGGCCATCGAACGATTTTGGAAGATCGAGGAGGTTTCCTCCCCCGCGCGCACATTAAATCCCGATGACGAAGCTGCCGAAAAACTTTTCGACGAAACGCACTCTCGGGATAAAAATGGACGCTTTGTAGTACGTCTACCTCTGAAAGCGGGAATACCTAGCGTAGCACTCGAAACAAGACGAATCGCGCTTGGCTCACTCAAACATCAAGCTTTACGGTTCTCGCGCGACTCAAATTTGGCACTCTCGTACTCAGAGTTCATGGAAACATACATACATCTTGGTTACATGGTACCGATACCACAGTCGGAAATCAACAACCCCCACGCATGGTACTTACCACACCACGCCGTCGTTCAAGGAGATCCCGGTCGATCGAAAATCCGTGTTGTATTTGACGCCTCGCGTCGAACTCGCGAGCAGTTTCGTTTAAACGACTTCCTCAGAGCAGGCCCCGCACTCCAAGGCGATCTCGCATTAATCCTCTTAAATTGGCGACGCTACCGTTACGTGTTCACCGCTGACATTGTCAAAATGTTTAGGCAGATCCGCATCGCGCCAGAAGACCAAGATCTCCACCGCATTCTTTGACCGCCGTCGGCTCCCGTTGATTGGCGCCTCACAACTGTCACTTACGGTACCGCTTGTGCACCGTACCTCGCGATTCGGACGTTATTGCAGCTTGCAAAAGACGAGCGTACACGCTTCCCCCTTGGCGCTGAGTGCTTGGAAAGAAACACTTACGTGGACGATACGTTCGCCGGAGCAGACGAGCTTACGACCGCTATACAAAAACGAAATCACTTAGTCGGCATACTCGGGACAGCTAGCATTAAGCTAGATAAATGGGCCGCCAATCACGTCGACCTACTACCACCTGCCACGACCTCGTTTGATAGTAACGAAGTAAAGCGAATTGACTGTGACAAATCGGTGAAAACCCTCGGAGTTCATTGGAACCCGTCGTCTGATAAGTTTCATTTTTCCACGGGAACCCCTAAAGGCAGCGGTGAGCCATGGACAAAACGCTCGGTATATTCAGCGATCGCGAGCCTATTCGACCCATTGGGGTGGCTCTCCCCAGTGACCGTGATTGCCAAGATAATTATGCAGGATCTGTGGATCTCCAAATGTGAATGGGACGAGCCTCTGCCGGCCCAGATCCGTGAGCAATGGCGTCACTATTGCCAATCCCTGTCAGATCTCCCCGCGCTCTCGATCGACCGATGGTTAAGCTTGACGCAGCAAAGTTCCGTACAGCTCCAAGGATTCTCAGATGCGTCCTCCCGCGCGTATGCCGCAGCTGTATATTTTCGCGTCGACGACGGTAAAGGCAACGTGCGTATCTCGTTGCTCGCCTCTAAGACGAAACCTTCGCCTATTAAAACTAAAAGTATCCCGAATCTCGAGCTTTGCGGCGCGGAACTCCTCGTCAAATTGGTCCGATACTTACAACGGTTAGAGTTCTTATCGGAAATACCAGTTTATTTATGGTCCGACAGCCAAATAGTCCTCACGTGGCTGAAAAAACACCCGTGCCACTGGAAGACTTTCGTCGCCAATCGCGTATCGTTCATACAAACCGAACTGCCCTCAGCCATATGGTCGCACGTTCCGACAAAGCAGAACCCAGCCGACTTGGCGACACGCGGAGTGTTACCTGACGAATTGGGACAGATGGATTTGTGGTGGCATGGGCCGACCTGGCTCCGCTCTGACTCGCAAGATTGGCCAATGCCAGCGAAGACAGTACAAGCTTTGCGTACCCGAACGAGTACAGGGGAGTCAGGGATTCTCTCACGCTATTCTACGCTTTCACGGTTGACGCGCATAACAGCTTGGCTTTTGCGCCCGCTCTATCAGCTCCGCCGACGTAAGGAAGGACTAACCGCGTTACCCTCAAAGCGCCTCACTACCACCGATCTCGAATATGCACGCGACGCGCTGATACGAGTATCCCAATCGCACGCTTTCTCAAAAGACATAGAACTTATAAAGGCCGAAAAGACATTGCCCCGGTGCAGTCCGTTGAGGAAACTCAAGCCGATTCTCGGATCTGACGGCATTCTACGAGTAGGAGGCCGCCTTGACAATAGCAATTTGCCGCACTCGGTAAAAAATCCGCCCATTTTGCCTCGCCTCTCCGCACTTAGCCGACTTTTTGTACACTTCGCGCATCAAAAATCATTACACGGTGGACCTACGTTAACTGCAAGTGTTCTTCTCCGATACGCGTGGATACTAGGTATGCGACCATTAGTTAAGTCATTAGTAAACAAGTGCGTCAAGTGTCAAAGACACAAGCCCCGCCTGGCCCAACAACTTATGGGCAGCCTCCCTGCTGCGCGCGTTACACCATCGCGCCCATTCACAACATCAGGATTGGACTACGCGGGACCATTTCAAATACGTACGTCGAAGGGTAGAGGAGAGCGTGCTTATAAAGGGTACATCGCTCTATTTGTCTGCTTCTCTACGAAGGCCATCCACCTCAAAGTCGTTAGCGATCTCACCTCCGCTACATTTATCGCCGCCTTTCGTCGATTTGTAAGCAGACGGGGGCTCTGTAAGGAGCTGTACAGTGACAATGCCACCACGTTCAGAGGAGCTGACGCTGAACTACGTGCCATGTTCAACGCCGCGTCGGACTTTTACAAGGACACCGCATCTACACTCTCGAACGATGGGACTTCATGGACTTTCATCCCCCCGACTACCCCTCACTATGGTGGCTTATGGGAAGCAGGTGTGAAATCTACGAAGCATCTGTTGAAACGGCTCGTTGGCGAGCATACGCTTACTTTCGAAGAATTTGCGACCTTATTAGCATAGACCGTATTAGACCGAAGCATGCCTCAACTCGCGCCCTTTGGGCCCCCTCACTTCTGACGTCGATGATTTGCAAGCACTCACCCCATCCCACTTTCTAATCGGAGCCGCTTCAGGACTTGTACCAGACGAACCAACGCCAAACGTCCCGGAGAATCGTTTGAGTCGTTTTCAACTCTTACAACGCATTCGCGACCAGTTCTGGAAGCGATGGACCAGCGAATACATACTACAAATCCAGGAAAGAGGGAAATGGCGAGAACCAACCAAGAACTTCACAGTTGGACAGCTTGTACTTCTCAAGGACGATCGCTATCCATTATCAAAATGGCCTCTTGGACGTGTGATCGAGACCCACCCGGGTCAAGACGACCTTGTACGAGTCGTCACCGTCAAAACCGCCACGAGCACCTTTCGTCGACATATTGCCTGCCTCGCACCTCTTTCGTTGGAACAACCGGACAGCAGTGAAAATTCAGCTAAGCGGGAATAGAGCATGTGGACTACTTCGCGCGTATATTCGGCCGGAGGCCGAAGGCGGGCAGAGTGTTCGCGCGCGCTGCTCTTCACGTGTTGGTGAGCGTGTTTTTTCCCTTTCTTGCTTGCTGCCGACGCTTCTTAACGACCCAAGTGTTCACCTCATGCCGAAAACTTACGAGCCATTCAAGATAATAATCTGCCACTACTCAAGCATAACACTTCGTTCGGGGAAAACTTCATCGCAGGACACATGCTACACAGCCGCCAATACGCAGCAACAAACATGGTCTCGCATAACGACCTCTCAGGTAGCCAGCGGCCTTCTCAAGAACTGTACGGCAACGCTACCCTTGATATCAGCTACTCGGATCTTTTGGGGACCCAACGAGGAGAAAAAAGGGAAATGCCCCCACTCATTATTGCAGCTCCTTGCTAGGCATTGTCGAGGGACCCCGGCGTTGAACAGCAGTCTCTCGAGAGCATCCGCGGCGTTCGGACGTAAAAAGTCGAGCTTCACCATTCTCGCGCCTCGCAAACGATTGGTAACAGACGCACCAAAGTTTCCGGCCATATCACAAGTGCCCCCCCCCCCTTTGTTCGTAGTGCGCGTACGCGTTGTGACCAAACCCGTCAGTGGGTCCTTACGTATGTGTGTACGACGACGCGAGAGAAAGGGGCTGGCGACCAAGCAACTTGACGCGTCAGCAGAGGGCCTTCGACTCTCTGAGGGGGTGTCAGATCCCGCTGCCTACCAATCGGCAATTTCGGCTCCATTGCAGTGAGGGCTGCTCCCGTGTCCGAGACGTCGGAACTGCATGCACCGCCGTACACCGCCTGACATCCTCTTCCCGGTTTCGCTAACCTACCCACAGGGCGTCGTCGTGATAGACAATAGGTAAGAGAGCTCTCAAAACCACGCGGTGAGTTGGCCACTCAACACTCTGTACAGGCTACGCGAGCCTACTATCCGACCTTTTTATGTAAACTTCATGTAGTAACCATGTTAATAAAGAAACTATTAGCTTAACGCAGCTCACGATCTATGCACCCATACACTCCCGCAATCACCGCAATTAATTCCTCACGCCTCTTTCCTTCAAGCTTATTACTCGTTAATATTGAACAGACTACTACTTATTTTATTATAAAAGCTGATGAATTTTTACTCAGCTCAAGATATATTGGAAAAATTATTCAAAAGATTAATTCAAAAGAAGATCGATAAAGCTATTATACTGTTATACAACACTAAACTTACATATTCCGACCCACACACAAAGTTCCAGCCTGCCCCGAGCCAACATTGCGTTCGAGTCTATAACGCCTGGACTATGAAGCGAGCGAACTAAAATAACTATTATACAGATTCAAATGTAAATGCGATGATGAGGGCTCTACGAAAATAAGAGCAACTTACAATTATATTATTACTACAAATAATTTAGCGATACGATTTACGCATGTAACATATTAAAATATAAAATTAGAAATACTTGTATGCGATCGCTATAACCCTTTAAATGTATTAATAACCGACAAGCCATCTGACGAATTAAATTAATACTGTGGGCAAAAAGTAAGGTGAATTTTCAATTTAAACTTCGCGGGCTTAACATTTCGGGCTAGTTCTTTTTTTCTTGAGTTGATAGGACTGCGAATGACATCTGGGACAAATTTCATGTCAATGTCATCATCAGTAATATATTTACGCTTGTGTTTACCAAACGACCAAGAGTGCATGTTTCGATTTTTACAATGTCTGATTTAATTGAGCAAAGAAGTGCCATCAAATTTTGTTTGCGGAATGAAATTTCGGCTGCGGAAACGTTGAGGATGTTGCGGAAGGCCTTTGGTGATTCTACTATGTCGCAGAAAAATGTTTATAAGTGGTACAAAGACTTCAAAGAGGGTCGAGAACGTGTTGATGACTTGGAGCGCTCCGAACGACCATCGACGTCAACAGATGACCAACACGTCAATAAAGTGAAGGAATTAGTGCTCGAAAATCGTCGGTTGACTGTTAGAGACCTTACTGATATGATCGGAATATCAGAAGGATCTGTGAAAACAATTTTGAAAGACCATTTGGGCCTACGAAAAGTCAAATCTCGTTTGGTACCGAAAACGCTCAATTTCTTTCAAAAAATTCGCCAAAAATTCGACGCATATCGTTCCGCAACCACCGTATTCGCCTGATTTGGCTCCGTGTGACTTCTGGCTATTCCCAAAACTCAAGAGACCAATCCGAGGAACGCGTTTCGAGTCGATTGAGGAGATAAGAGCTGAATCGAAGAAGGCGCTGATGGCTATACCGGAAAGGGACTATTTGGCATGTTTCGAGGATTGGAAAAAACGTTGGCATAAGTGTATTTTATCGGGAGGGGATTACTTTGAAGGGGATGACATTGATGTAGAAGAATAAATAAAGATTTTTCATTTTACAAACAAATTCACCTTACTTTTTGCCCACAGAGTAACTTGATTGATGAAATTAGAAACTCGGACGAAACTCGCTGGTGACGTCACGACTAATAAGCGAATTAGAATAAAATTTTATTTCCGTCCGCATTGAAAAATAAATAAGAGTAGGGGTAGATCTTTCACATCAATCAATGCTAAGCGACTTAGTGGGGGGTGAGAGAGGGTAAATAGCGACGAAAGTAGGAGATAAAATAAGGGCACTGTACCTTTCTAATTTACATATTGACCAATGATGAAATATTCGGAGGGCGCTACCGATATCCGAATTAGCATATCGGTCAATAATAGGATTTCTTCTTGGAAAGACGAGAGGAAAGACGATCTTTGACCGCGAAAAGCCGTTTCTCGTCCATTTTTCCACTGATCGCTAGATTAGAAGGAAGCAATTGTGCTAGATTCGCTGCCGTAGTTTCGCTCGTCGAGTTCTTCATCGGAAATCTGTAAGTAGGCAAAGTGCCACTTACTAAAATTAATTGTGAAGTGCGGTGCGTGATTTTTCTCGGGCGAATAATACCGTCGCGACGCGTGGATCTGATCCGCCGCGCATTGAGTCGCGTCGAGTCGTGCTGACCATCCGCTATTCAGACCGTAATTCTATTTGTATTTTAGAATAAAGGAAAGTCAAGTGTGATCAATTTTTCTTAATTTTACGTCTTGTTACCCTCCCTTACCAGGATGCTGATATTTTCAGCCGCGGACGGTTAATAAGGAGAAGTACTTGTTCGCCATTTTCGGTCCCGACATTAGGTAACTTACGAGCGAAATCGAATGAATCTCCGATCTGAGACAAGGAGTCATAGTTTGAGCTGTCGTTACGTCGAGGACATGAGAAGATGAATAAATTGACAATTTTTGGACACCAACGGCCTGATACCAAGGAAATCGCTGTGTTAACGTCTATCTGCCCCCTCTGGGCAGTCGCACTGTGGGCGAACAGAGATACGCCACGATATTATGGCCCTACCCCAGACGATCGCCCTAATTTAGGTACGGCGGTCTGGCGCCCTTATAAGTCGGGGAAAAAGGGCCAATCAGGCCTTTTGGTGGAAGTACTTCGAGTGCGCGGCTGAGACCCCTTGAAATTCCCCGCCACAGTACCCATTAAAATCTACAATTTGGCATGTTAAAGATTCAAGTAATGTAATAAATAACTGAAAAATACGAAAGAAAGAGCTCGCGAAGGACGCTAATTAACAATAGTAGATTAAATAATAAAGTTTAAGTTTGGTAAAATCAAGGTTTCGGATTCAAATCTTTATTCACTTTTAACAAAAGTTGATTATTTAGAATAAAACTTGTAAAAATGTCCAAATTTTGTATAAAATTTATACAAAACTTGTACAACACTTGTATAAAACTTGTATAAATTTAGTATACATATTTTCGGAATAAATGGATACGAATTTTGTATGAGTATTGTGCGATTTTCCATCTAAAGCCGATGACGATTTTTCATCTAAAGCCATTCTCCCACTCCGTAGACCCTGATATCCATTGTTTCTCTCTCTTCATTGCTAGTCGTGAGCGACATCTAATAACTGTCGAAGGATTAGAAATTTCTCGCTAGTGCTACACTCTAGAACCATTTTCTTCAATTCTCCACGAATTACTGATGTCTTACATAACCTTTTTGCATTTTGCATCATCTTTCTCTCTCTCTCTCTCTCTCTCTCTCTCTCTAGCTCTAGCTCAACGTGGATCACGGCACGCGGAGGAAGGGAGTGCATGTTGTTTATAGTTCTAACTTGGGAATGCGGTGCTATAGTAGTAAACGCGTGTTCTCTCCCTTTCTAACTCTGGCTCAGCGTGGAAGAGGAGGGGAGCGCATGCTATCTATAGTTTTAACTTGAAGATGTACTGCTATAGTAGTAAATGCGTGCTCTCTCCACGGAGGGAGCTTAAGATGTAATGTCTCTACTAAAAGGGTATCCTATCCTTCTCATTCATGACTATTTTATTATTGTAATTAGTTAAATATTAGTTAAGTAAGTTCATATTTAATTTTTTATTTAATATTTATTATTTTTAATTATACATTGAGT